CCTTTGGAATCATACAGTTCTGGGCTTGAGTCCTCCTTGGGTTTCCGAAGCAGTATCACTACGGAAGTAGGATTGCCCAACCTTCCTTCCGAGGAGTGGCTGGTGGGTTTGAACCGCCAGGTGTCTGGCTAGCAGGCAAGTGTCTTAGCCACTATGCTACCAGAGCTCCGAGCGGCACTAGGGAACCAGAACTGCCAAGCTTTCAGGTGGTAGCCCAGTGTCTAACTGCACCACTGACTCCACTTGTTCTACAGCACTTCAGAAACATCCACAGCAGCTGTTATCCTAAGGTAGCAGGTCTTAGCTCAGTATGCCCCTCCCTCTGAATGTTCCTCAGTACACAACCCCTACCTGCTCTTCAAAAGACTGTCCGCAAAAGTCCTTCCGCTAATGCTAAGACCTCCAAGAAGCAGTAGCCTACAGGTCCTTCAGGTCCACTAGCCCAGTAACTCTCTTCCAGTCTGAGACAAAGCTGAACCCTAGCCTCTTTTCCTCCAGCCCCCAGTGCAGGGGCCCTGCTCCTGTGCTGGCTGTGTCCACATTTTCTCTCTCACTCTGGTGATAAGCAAGCATTTAATCTTAGGAAAATCTGAGCCTACTCTGTTACCGTTAACTATAAATTTCAATTCTGGCTATTCTAGTTCATAGTGGGCAGTACCAGACTCTACCTGCCCTCACCCCAAGTTTCCCAACCAAGGAAGCATATATTTATGTGGGCCTTTTTCAGCCTGGCCATGCTCTGATGTCCTCTGTTTGGCCAGCTTTTCCCCACTCACTGCCCTCAAGCCAGTTCCTCATAGCAACCCTATAGAACAGTAGAACTTCCCCCACAGGGTTTCCAAGGCTACAATCTATATGAAAGCATCCTTCTCCCACCGAGTAGCTGGTGGGCTCAAACTTTGTTAGCCAAGTGCTTAACGACTGCACCAGAGCTCCCTAGACCTACCCGAGCACCCTCAAAAGGAAAAGCATAAAGCAGAAAAGGGAAAATATGTTCACAGAAGAGCATGAATGGGATGGTGGTGACTGAAGGGGCTCTCAGAAACCCCTCTCCGTTTACGCCATGCCTGCTATGCCTATTTCAAGGCACCACATAGCTCTTCTGCTCACTCAACTCACCACCTCCCCCCTCCCTCACCCAGCTCCCATCACTGCTCAAAGTGGGAAGCAAGGAAGAGCAGTAATCAGCCCAAAATGACAGAATTAAGGACCCAGAGGCCGACTCGACTGAATGATGCCGAGCCGTTTTCTCCTGTATAGCCGAATGCTACCTCTGTTAATCAGCCTGCTTATCCGTAGCCTATCTCTAGCTGCCTGAAGGACCAGCCTGTTTGTTACTGTCCCACTGGGCTGGGAGGTCCAAGCATTGCTGAGGCCCCCCTCTCCTCTACATGCCCCACTTCCCAGACCACCCGGAGGGAGCCACAACTGGCAAGCTCCAGCTTCCAGAAAGGCTTCCAAATAAAGCAGGGCTGAGCTCTGGCTCCAAGGAAGTAGTGCTTTGTTCTTTCAGGGATCACAGAGCAGCATCTAGAGGCCCTTCTGGGCAGCACAGATTACATAACTCTGGCATGCAGCAGGGCACCAGAGCCAAACACCTCAGCCCGTTCCCAAGGCCAGCGGCGTGTCACCCAACACACAAGGAAGCCCTAGCACCACGAAGGCTGGGCCAGGAAGGCACCTGGGTGAGGGAACTGAGCCCAGCCGAGCCTGTGGGCTACCTGCCCCTTGGCTGAGCCTACACTCGGCTTATTTGAGGCCTGGGAACGAAAGCAGTGACACAACTGCTAGGGAGGTTTACAGCAGCACTGTCCCAGAGAGAGAACATAAGCCACAACTACATATATAACTTAGTATGTTCTAGTAGCCACATTGAAAAAGCAAAAACAAACAGGTCCATTTTAGTTATCTTATTTATACTCAAAATATTTCATCACGAGTTATCTTCTCCCCCCCACCCCCTTTATTTTTGACGTCTTCAAAATCAGGTTTGCAATTACACTTACAGTGTATCACAATTCAAACTAGCCACATGGCTAGTGGCTACATTATGGCTTGTGCAGGTCTAGAGAAAGCCATCAGACTAAGACCCACAAAGGGACCAGAGAGGAGGCTGCTGCCCTGAGCTCTCGGGCTGCCTTCGGCTCAGGAGGCCCTTTCTCCAGCTCTGGGTCTCTTGAAGTATTTTTTGAAGTCCTTTAAAGCCAAACAAAGCTCAGAAGGTAGGAAGGGGCAAGAAAGAATGACGAATGGATTGGGGGTGAGGGGGACCCAGGGAGGAAGTGGGAAGTGTACTATAACACTGAGGGAATTGCAACTAATGTTAAGATACAAAATGTGTATAAATTGTTGAATGGAAAACTAGTATGCTCACCCAAACCACACTTTTTTAAAAAATCAAGAAATAAGGTCCTTTAAAGAAACAAAACTCTTTCTGCAAATAAAATTAGAGACAAAAGACTAAAACAGATGACAGAACTGCTCAGACCAGTGGAGCTAGGGGGAGCTACAGCTCACTGCTCACGGCAGCGCCACAGCCCCTCAAAAAAACCATCCCACGGTCCACGAGCATAGGAAAACCACTGGTTTGGAAGATTCCCATATGGAAACTTCTGATTGTCAGGACTCTCCAGGCACTTGCACTTCTGTTACCTCCCCACATCCTAACATGACCATTACCTGCCAAGGAAGCATCATCCGGTGAGTGCAGCTGAGCAACAGGCTCAGAGGTTATCACACCTCCAAACCCTCACGTCCTCACTGGACCACGCTGCACTGGAGAAAGATACTCCAACATCTTTTCAAATTTTAAGCCTCACAGAACAACTTCATTGCCCAAAGCCCTCTCTACTTTACCCCAAGTTTGGCTAAGGGTCTCCCATTAAGCAAATGAGATAGTAGAGGTCAGTCTAGAAGTCTGGGTTACACAGAGCTGGACCTGCTCAGAAGCCCTCCAACACTCAAGAAACAGGACACCTTTTGAAAAAAAAATTATTTTTATTGGAACTCATCTGAACATCAGATATACCTGGTGTTGGTTAGCAAGAACCGTTTGTACATTTGATATTGATGGTGCCAAAACCAAAACAGTGACTGGACATGATGGGGAGAAGATGTTAAGAACAAAAACTTGATTTTGGAGAGGAAAATAAAAGCCAGTCAGACTCGGTGAGGATGCAAAACCTGGTACAACAAAATCCTTTTACAAAATATAAATTTCTTAAGAAAATCTGGAAGGATAATCTGAGAAAGGGAAAGAGAAAAGGAGGCCAGCAGAGAGGAGGCAGGAGGAGGGGGAGAGGAAAGGAAGAGAAGACAAAGAAGAGATGAGAGGAAGAAGAAATCATAGCACAACAAAGGTGCAGAAGCTTCCCTGCCCCACTGGCATTAAAGCCTTGCTATGCCACCTCATCATAAAACTAAGCATGCTGCATGACAGTGCGCTACCTCCCATCCGTGTGATTTTTAAGAGGTAAATAAAGAAGCTCCCTGGGAGGGGGACATGAGGTTGCTCAAAAACCCAACGAGAGGAAGAAAAAAAAAAAAAAACCACACCCCACAGTCTCATTTCCGATGTTCACTGTTTAAAAAAGGAATAAATCCATCTGACAGCAAGAGGAGTGGGACAGGGAGAGAAGCTGTTGGGTTGCAGACAGCCTGACTCCTCTGGAGGGGGCAGAGGGAGAGGAAGAGAGACATGAGACAGTCTCCTGGTTGAGAGAAGGGAAAGAGAAGGGAGAGAGAAAAGAGCAGAGAGGGGCAATTAAAACACTGACGTCTAATCTAGTTTACTATGTTAAAAAAAGCCACATGCACAGCAGGCCCCCTGGGGGCTGAGGGCCCACACTGTTCCCTGTGTGGCCGCGGTGGACACTAGCTCCTGGCCTCGTCCCCATTCCGTCACAGGTCAGAGCGGAGCCGTGCAGGTGGTGCTGCTGCTGCTGCTGCTGCTGTGGCTGCGGCGGCGGCGGCGGCGGCGGGACCTTCCGGCCAGTCGGCTGGAGCCAATGTCAGGGAGGGGCGCGTGGACAGGCCATATGACAGGGGAAAGAACACCGAAACGCCTCATTTCAAATAAAAAAGAAAACAGCAGTCTATACACAGTTGTTTTGGTTCAGTACAAACAGAATAAAAAGTCGTTGCTTTTGATGGTCTGCAAACACCCAATTCTGAAGAGGAGAGGTGACGCCCAGCGGGTGGATTAGTAGTACTCCCAGTGGTTGGCGGAGTGCCTGGCTTTGCGGCCCTCTCCCAGGAGGCAGAGAGCACAGCTTTAGGTAGTGTAAGCCTTTTTCCTTTTATTTAGAATAACCTTTTTTTTTCTTTTTCTTTTTTTTTTTAAGCAATTTCCCGCTCCCAAGTTGGGCCAGTAAAGATTACATGAAAACTGGCACACCTATTGACTGGAATACAGATGCACCAAATGAGGATTTAAAAACTTTCCGAGCGAAAAGTAGAACAAAAGAAAAAAAAAATCTCCTAGCATTTTCCCCCAAAGGTTTCACTCTCCCGCCACACATACTCTCCAAAGGACCGCTACAGATCCAACTCTGCAAGAGAAGACAGAGCAGTGTCAATCGGGGAAGCTGCGAGGACATGAGGAGGCTTTCAGTCTCGACAGGCAGAAGACAGCGCTGCCCTGGCCCTGGGTCCCAGAGCCGGCACTCACCTATGTCAGTTTCTTGGCTTTGTTGTAGAGGGAATCCACTACTTTACTCATGTTCTGAATTGTTTCCAGAGCAGCTTCATAAGTTTTATCTACTGGGGGTTCATCGAAAATAATCAGGACACCCTCCCCCTGGTCCAAGATCCCTGCAGGAAACATAAGGACAACCCAGACAGAAGAAGGGATTAGACATAAAAGCATGTGAGCAGCAGCCCTAATTTCCTTTTTCCTGCCCCCTGTTCTCTTTGTGCATGCTTATTACACACTCTGTTCCCAGCGCTAGGAGGGACAAGGGTCCAGGCAACCCCCAAGAGAAATAAATGGTATACTATCTTTAAACATAAACAAAAGCATGACACCTCTTCAACTACCTCATCACTACCAGCAGCCCCTTCGCCTATATGACCTTTACTCACCATGAAATTTCTTGTCAAGAATCATCTGTGATAATTTCCTTTCCACGTCGGCCTAAAATCAAAGCATGTGATTAAAGGCACCTGTATCCACTGGGCAAGGATCAGACTGACATGAAGACCCTGCATAAAGGGTCTGAGGGCAAATGGATTACAAAAAAACAGGAACAATGAAACTCCAGCCCAGCACCCAGTGTCCCCATTCCCCCTGAGAGAAGCTTGGGAGCTTTCCAACAAGTGCCAGCCCTTCTGCACAACCCTTTCCCCATTCTACCCCCAGGTTGGCCTCAGGACTCCTTACCTTGGAGAGTTTGATGAGGCTAGATATGTGTTCAATCTAAAAGGAAAGGGAAAAAGATACCAGTATTTCAAGTTTTACTTTGGCCTCCAATATGAGAAAGGAAGGGGAGACTGCTGTCTCTCTCAATGTCCTGCTAGATGGCTCTGCAGGGCCAGATTCTCTGAGCTGTGCTTAGGACTCTTGTGCTGTCCATCTGCCTCCATCACTACGGACAGTAAACACATGATTGCCCCACACGCCCAATGCAGAAAACATTTACCACATGAGTAAAAGGAGAGCACACTCAGAACACAAGCAGGGAGCAACCTCAGGGCATCTTTTTCTCCCCAACTCCTTTTCCCTGTCAAGAGAAACCCACGCGCTTAGTGGCCTCATGCCCGCCAGTCACACCCCTGGAAGCAAGTTCCCATTCTGGATATGTATGGTAAGGGAGGTAGCTACAGCAAGGACGACTAGCCAGGGCCCCTCCTCCCCGCAAACAAGAGCTATGGGGTCCCCAGGAGGGTTCTTACCTGTACTCGAGAAAAAGGCTCAATGACTCGGATCAGATTCTGTTCCAGTAAGTTATCATACAACTTGGCCAAGTGTGTGCTGATGATCGGGTCATCCCGGAGCTCAGCCCGGTAATCTGTCAGGGCCTACCAAAAGAGCCGGTTCACAGAGATTGACACAAAGAACCATTTAAAAGGAAAGCCATTCCTGGGTTCCTAAGTAGGCTGCTGGCCTCGTAATTACATGATTATAACTACTGGGATTTTTGGGAGATGAAAGAAAACCCAGGACAGAAAACAGAAGAAAAGGAACCCCAAGAGGCTACCCTAAAACACCATCTCTCCTTCTGAAACTCTCATGTGGACAGCTCAAATCATGTAAGCCCAAGAGCAGTTCAGCTTGTAAGCCAAACCAACTAAAAGCATTTCTCAATCTGTATTCTACAAAACAAATAGGGTCTCTGTGGGGAGACCAAAAAAAAAAAAAAGGATTCTGAGGTTAAATAATGGGAAATGCTAAATTCCACAGCTAGCTCTTAAGTTATACAAGGAAAATCAGCAAAATACAGCTCTCCCATTAAAACAAAACCCCTTTCTGACTTTGTTTAGCCCTGAGGATCTGACCACAAAATGCTTTTTGCCAAAGAAGTTAATAGAAGTGTTCCATCAAACACACTCTGGGATAGAATGATGTAGGTGGCTGATTCATATATGTGATTTGTTTACCTTTAGGTAATGACCTCAATATCCCAACCTCATGGTGGCTGTACCATGTGTTAAGGGGAGTGTGCAAATCATGCCAAGTTAAGGAGGCAGGAATTGGCAAGAAACATCCAGGGACATGATGAGTCTTAGGCCATGTGTCCTAGTCTCCATCCACATGAAATTTTTCTTTCTGGATCTAGGTTTTATTTTTTTTAAGCTGGCCATTATATTTTGACAATGAGGATAGAGGTTCAAAAAAGAATATGCAAGTCTCATCCTAATGCCTAGACAAATTTTCTTCCTTTTTCAAAACATCCAAAATTAATAAAAGGCACAGAAGTAAAACAAAGCCTAGACCACCACCCTAAAGAAGTTTCTTTCTACCCATATGTACACATCTTCTCTTCCACCCAGAGGAGCAGCAGTCATAGCCTTCCTGGAGCTGAAGGGAATGCCTGGGAGCAGGCCGTGTGGAACAAGCATTAGGCCTAGAGTCAAACCCTGACATTTATTAGCTGTGTGACTTTGGGCATCCTCTCTGAATCCCTGTTCCCTCAAGCATTAAATGCAGATAATAGGTTTGTTGTAAAAAATATGACAAAAGGATACAGAAATAACTTTTTAAACTGAAAAGTACTATATATAAATGAGGTATGACAATGCAACACTCATCATTGTACAAAAGTGCTTAAACAATTCCTGGTTCTGATCTGTCTTATAATTATGTAAGATGTATCCCCTTATGCAGGAGGAGGCTCAGACATCTTCTTGGGGTTTAGGCAATCTCTATTCAGAGGAACTTTGTCACACTGGTACACACCTTCTCTAGCCAGCTAGTGGGGGATGACACTCACATGCCCTGGGATGGACACAGGCTGGTGGCAGGAGGGGATTCCCTATCCCAGCGTACATACTGTATCTGTTAACATTTTGTATATTCCAGAGGATACAGACCCCCTGTATCATAAGAAAGGATGGAGCTAGCAAATGGGAATGAGGTTCCAGTAATTATTTGGGGGTTGGGGATACTTATTGATAGTAGAACAGAGGAAGGAGCTCTGGTGGCATAGTGGATAAGGCACTTGGCCACTAACCAGTAGGTCGGTCGTTCAAATCCACCAGCTGCTCTGCGGAAAGACAAGGCAATCTACTTCCATAAAGATTTACAGGTCTGAAACGACTAGATGGCAGTGAGTTTGGGTTTTTTGCTTTGAAGATGTAACCACTGGGAGAAACTAGTCTAAGGTGCAAGGGATCACCCTGTATTATTTTTGCCACTTCCTATAAAACTTTAATTATTTCAAAATAAAAAGTTTTTCTTAAAAATGTTTAAATGTCTCACCAATGCAAAGATGTCCCAGTGCCTCTCCACTACCCACCCATTCCCTACCAACCCAATACCATGTTCACCTTTTCAAAATCCGCCAGTGATCTGTTCTTGCTAGCCTGAGCCACACATTTTAATGCTTCTGTCTAAAAATAAAGAGAAAAAAATGTTTAAGTGATCTAGCCTGTGTACTCACATTCTATCAAACAAGCAGAAGCAGTATGCTATGTCCACACGAATCTGGCAGCAAGGAAGAACCTACCTCCCCATCAGTCTTCTTCAGAGGCTTAGAAAGAAAAGCTAGAAGAATACCACCTTGTGCCAACTGGTTTCCCACTGAAATTTGAAGTGACTTAAAAATACTAGGGAGTAGAAAGTTTCCCCAAAAAACAGATCCTGATCCAGCATTCTCCAAAGATGACAAGCTAAAAGGGAAACTGTCCAAAGAACTGTGATTTTTTTTCCTCCTCCACCAAACTTATCTTCAAATCCTTCTCGTCCTTAGACCTGATTATACTTGGGCTTTATCTAGATTCTGTACACTAAGTTGGGCCATTAGGGTTGAGGCTTCAAAATTCGACATATGAGACTGTTAAAATCCCATAGAGTAAAATTAGTGGATTTAGGCAGCTGGTTGAGATCTCCACTCAACAAGAACTCTGTAACACTCATCCTTCTAGGTTATCAGCCTGACACCTGCTTGCAAGCTGTCATCACGGTACAAAGGAGCAGTGGAGCAGATCGTGCATCAACCCATGTATTTAAATAAGACTGATGTGTCTTGTACAGTGCATTAAATGGTGCAACACTAGTGTGGTTTGTGTCTCCAGCATTTGTCCTATAGACAGAACAAATGTCCTAAGGAGAAAAGCCTGGAACTCAGAGACACATAAGCCACATTCAAAGTCATGCTCTACCATCTCCTAGTTACCTGGCCTTGCCCTGTACATGTGACCTGTCTGCTCAACTCCAGTTCTAGTAAGAGTAGCCTTTCACCATAAATTCACAAGTATTCTTGGGGCCAAAACTAGAAGCTGATCTGAAACTGTTTTTCAGATTAAAAACAAAAGGAAATTGTCTCTAAAGAGAGAGAGAGAGCGTGCACACATGCCAATCTACTGTTTAGAAATAACTTCATCTGAAATCCAGAAAGATTACTTTTACTTTTTTAGTCAAGCAAAGTGCAAAAAGATGGTCCAGATATATGAGACATCAGGTCACAACTATTCACTCTTGGAAGTCATGCTGATACCTACTTAGTCATTAAGGTACCACACAAGGGACTACTGACCACCAAGGGCCTCTTGTTGCACCATACCCAAAACTCAAGACATGATTACAAAGTTACTGGCAGGACAAGCACTCAGGTGAATCATCCACACCAAGTTTTTGCACCAAGCAATCGACTTCCCTAAAGCATGTGTGCACCAGACCTTACTGGGTTCCTGAACCTTAGAGAGCTCAGTATTTCACACTATGTGCACATTAAATTCACAAGGAAGGCTCAGGGTAGATTTTCTGATGAAAGATAAATACAACCTAACTCACTGTAAATACTACAGTTCAGTTTTATAAGTCCCTTAAACCACTTGATGGATTTCAGACATGTGCTTAAGCACATTAAGCACTTTCCGGGCCAAAAATTTAATAATATAGAAAGTACGCTAACTGGGCTTAAGGGGAAAAATATAAGGGAGAAAGGAACCCTGGTAGTGCAACAGCTTGGCTGCTAATCAACAGGCTGGCAGTTCAAACGCACCCAGAGGCTCCCCAGGAGACAGATCTGATAATATGCTTCCATAAAGGTTACAGCCAAGAAAACCTTATGTGACAGTTCTACTGTCACATCGGGTCACTATGAGTTGGAATCAATTCAACATCATTGTGGTAGTTATGGTTGTGTGTCAACTTGGCTGGGCCTGGTTGAGTGGCTGGGCAGCTGGTGGTAGTTTTTCCCCATGATGAGACTGGCAATCAACTCCATGGTGGGACCTACCATAAGCAGCTGAGTAGCTGCTTTTGGGATGTGGTCTGCTTCCTGTACATAAGAAGCCCTGGAAATGGTCTCTAGCCTGTGGCACACTTGGACCTGCATGCAGCTGTGTTGTTGTTCAGCAGCCTGCCATGTTCTGCCGACCTTGGGACTTACAAGGGACTTAAGTTAATGACCTGCCATGTAGTTTGGTAACATCGGGACTGTGCCTTTTTACTTGTCAACCTGGGGCTTGGCAGCCTCAGCAGCCAGCATCTGTCTGAGTGAAGAAATGCCTCTAGCTTCAGTGGGCCAGGAGCTGGAGGCAGAGCTGAAACCCAAGGCTGAGGGGCTTTCACCCAGCCCCTAGAGACTGGCACTTTGAACTTGGACTTAAAGCCTCCAAATTGTAAGAATAAACTCCTGTTTGTTAAGGCCTTCCCATTTGTGGTATATTTCTTTTCAGAGCGGTACTAGGTAACCAGAACAGTCACACAGCAACATCTTGTAACCAGTTTCTAATGCCTGATCTGGTTCTCTCGTAATCAATCTCCCTCTCTTTTTTTTTTTTTAAAAAAAGGGAGAGTAGAATGAGACATGACAAGCACTAGCCTCAATGGGTGAGTGGTTCACTGTGACCCTGATAACATGATGGACTCAGAGTGAGGAGAAATCAGAACTTCAGTCAAGGTATCCCCTACCTGCCTCCCGGCATACCGAAGTGCAAGCTTCCCGCTCACCAAAGCCTGGACATCCTCTGGGCTAGGGGGGAAAAAAAAATCTTGGTCAATGGCTCCAGCGTATTCTTCCAGGGTGTTACCCTTCTAAGTACAGGTCTCAGGCAAACTTTTTTCCCAGAATACCACTGAGAGGACCCTGCCCACAGAGATAATCAGCGCTAACCCCTAGATCCTTATGCCCATCATGTAGCACAAGCTAGGTTTTCTTCACTCTGGGCCAAAACTCATTACCAAAAAGTAGAAAAGCTCCAGTGTTAAGCCAAAAGCAGCACTGCACATACCCAGAGTAACACTGGACAAGCAGAGTAGGTCAAATTCCAGTAAAACAGCTTATATTAAAATAAAATCCCTTAGAACAGAAAGATCCAAAGAGAGTCTCAGTCTGTACCTCACTTATTCCAAAAAGACCATGAATAATTCTGTAGGATTCCTTACAAAAGGATCTCAGCTCAAACTCTGTCCACTTTTCAAATCTCTCCTTAACATCCCCTTCACCCCCATTCTAGGTGGCCTAGTTGGCTAACACTGGTTTATAAACCATTTCCTGACTCTGTCCTGCGCTCAGCAGCTATGACAGAGTATTTCCAGGATGCAGGAAAACTCTCCAAGTGGAGTCGGAAAGAGGATTTCTAAAATCTGTCTCCTCAATTCTAAAGTCTAGCAAGCAAAAGTGCTCTGGAACACTCCAACTCTACCTCACTCTACCCGACCCAGGCCAGAAGATGCTGCTCCTGTAACTGGCCAAACCCTCTGCCCAAACCATCTCTTCCAGGGCAGAAAGACTGAGTTGAAGGACCCGAGTTTTCACATCCCAGAGTTAATGTGCACCTACGTGTTGAGCATTATTTTGCACAGCAACATGTACTTCAGAGATGTGATGGCCTTGGGGCTATCGATGGAATCATAACCCTCAAATGCCTCATAGAAATATGAGTACGCAGTTTTCCAGTCCTTCTCCTCTGCTGCATGGATAATACCTGAGCATTAAAAAGAAAGGAATAAGAACAATATAAAATAGAACCATAAAAGAGCAGAGCTGGGAATGCCCTTAGAGATCCAGTCCTACCCCATCAATTTACAGATGATGTCAGGAGAAGATAAAGGACCTGAACAACAGTCAAAGCCAGCCAGTGGCAGAGCTAGGACCAGAACCCAAATCTTTAGCATTCCTAGTTCAATATCATACTATCAAATTGTCATTATAAATTCCTAAAGAAGTTTAAAAGATTCAATTCCAGGAGGATCCTAATACCTTCTTCCCATGTTTCTCATACCACTCTAGTCCTGCTAACTTCTGAAGACCCTAGAAAGTCATGTTTACTCCCCATGACATCACCTTCACAGGTTAAGAAAGTTACCTAAGCATTCCTGGCCTGTTTGAATGACCTGTTTTAGTAAGTTCAACCATTACTTTAAGATAGCTTAGCCAAGTTTGCCTTTTTTATAGTTAGGCAGCTTTCAGGGAGGGGAAAAACTCAACCTTTGACAGCCTCATTTCAGGTACTTGCCATTTATGGATATGATTTTGCCTAGATGCAATCAGTGTGCAGATTTCACATAATGCCAAACCCATGAATTTAATTTTGCATGGTTAAGCAGAATTTCTTTATGCTGATACACTATAGTTCACCTGACCAATCCTCTACTGTTACCAAGCTAGGGGGCTGTTCCTAATTAGCTTAACTATGATTGAACCTGCTATCACTTCCAAGCTATGCTATCACTCGGGGTAACATAAAAACTAGTTCTTTCCAGCTTGGGAGGCATCTAAACACTAACACTCTGCACTTCTATATTACCAGCTTTAACTCTGCCCAGCCCCTTATGAGACTACAGACTCCAGCCCCACCCATCTGTTTACCATGATGCTTCCCAACAATTTTCACATCAAGTACAGGAACAAAATATTTAGCAAACTGGAATAAAAGTTCAAGGGTGCTTCCATGTGACCCAAGAGATCAATGTTGCAGTACAACTTTAACCCCCTGTAGTATACCTGGCTGCCTGGACACCAGCAGGGAATTGCTGACTTAATAAATATATATTAAGTGATGTGCAGCATCCCCAAGCCTTTTACCCTCCAAAAAAGCTTTCTATTTTCTAATCAGATCCTTCCATTTCTGTTTTTAACTGTGTCCTTCTCTGTAATCAAGGAAAGCTCTCTCAAGCATAGCCAAAAAAACTATTAACTCTGCTAAATTAAATGAGACAAATTCCCATTTTTTTTATATCCCTCAATCCAGAGCTCCCCAAATATATTAGTAAATAGGGGTGGCCACACTGGGATAACAAGCATCACAATTTGCACATTAGGATTATAAACATCATGATTGAAGCCTTATTTTATTTATGTATCTTTAAATTGGACTGCTGCTCACTCAACACAAATATTGATGAGTCTACCATATTCCAAAGGAGGCCTGGTGGCACAATGGTGAAGTATTTGGCTGCTAACCAAAAGGTCAGTGGCTCAAACCCACTATCTACTCCAAGAGAGAAAGACCTACTTAACTGCTCCTGTAAAGAGTACAGCCTATACCACTGTCAACCACTCGGAGGGGGATCTATGGAGGAGATCCTGGATAGAAAGGGAGAACAATGTGAAACAAAACTCAAAATCATTTGGGGAAAAAAAGGGGGGGCGGGGACCAGGTTTGTTGGTCTGATAGAGCCTGGTG